GAAGTCTAACAGGGAGGGGGCCAACCTCACTCCTGGGGGAAGAGTGTTCCAAAGGGCAGGGGCTGCTGCAGAGAAGGCTCGCCTCCCGGACCCCATCAGATGAAAATCTCTTGCAGATGGGGTCCGTAGCATGCCCTCTCTGCATGACTGGGTGGGACGGGTTGATGTGACGGGGATGAGATGGTCCTTCAGGTACCCTGGACCCATGCCAAAACTTTTATGGGTTGTGTTTTGATATTTCAGCATTCATCAGATGCTGAAGCTTTTTATAATTTTAGTTGTAAATTTAATGGTCATGTTTTTACACTTTTTTCCCCTCTTTTCTTTTTAACCTTATTAGTAAAAGAGGGGAACATAAGTTGATCAGAGCCCTTAAGACCAACTTAGGACCAATACTCTGCTTGATATCTTGTTGAGAAAACATTGATAGGTGTGCTTTGAATGTTGTTTTTGAGCATGGTATAAATTCTGTAAATTTTCATGCCTTTCGGTCTACACTTAACCAATTTTGCTAATCTGGCTGTAATGGAGATATTTTGAAACTTTGCTGAAACCAAGATATTTTACATCTACAGCATTCCTATGATCTACTGAGGAATTATCTGATTAAAAAATGAGATAGGGCTAGTCTGCCAAGATTGGTTCTTGACGAACCCATCATTTGGTGATGATCCTATTGTTTTAGGTGATCCTAAAGTGCTTATAGATTTAATTCTTTATGATCTTCCCTTAGACTGATGTCAGATGGTCTGTAGTTCTCGAGATTCCATTGTTTCCTTTTTGAAGATATGGACAATATTTGTCCTCTTCCCCTGGCCTGGCATTTCACCATTTCTGCAGATTTCTCAAGATCAGGGTTGAATCAGATCATCAGCTAAGTTCTTTCAGTATTTTAGGATGCAGTCCATCTGTCATGGGAGTTTTTAGCTCATTCAAAGTAAATAGGTATTTTCTGACCATTCTCTTGTCATTTGCAAGTTTTAATCCAGCCCCTTCATCCTGCTTTTCCCAGTGAAAATTTCCAGTTGTTGGAGAAGAATTGAGGCAAAGTAGGAGTTGACTTTTTATCTGTTAGTATCTATCTGTCTTTATTGAGCATCTGGCAATTTGATTTTCTCTCTTCCTTTTATTTTGAATACATTGAAAGAAATTCTTTTAGTTATATTTGGCATTTCACCCCAGCTCATTCTCAGCTTTAGCTTTTCTGACAATCTTTCTGTAGTTCTGACCCACCTGAAAGTATGTTTCCTTTGTGACGTCTTCTTTTTTCCACCTTCTTTCTTCTTTAATAGGACTGTTCCTGCTGTAGGAGGATCCACACGCCTTCTGCAAATATATATCTTGCCTCATTAGCCTTTTAGATTTAGAGAGTCTTAACAATCATGATACAGGGCAATCTGATAGATGTACTGTATTTGGATTTTCAAAAAGCTTTTGACACATCTTTCACCAGAGATTCCTGAAGAAACTTGGGCAGGCTTTTTCTGAACTAGGCGACCTCCAAATGTGTGAACTGCACCTCCCAGAATCCCCAGCCAGCATGCCTCTTGCTGAGAATTCTGGGAGTTAGTCAGCACATCTGAAGGACAGCCAGGTTCATGTTTATCAGTAATTTGTTAAAGAATAGGAAGCAGTAAGTAAGAATAAGTGGTCAAATTCTTCAGTGGATGGATACAGCTACTCCTAGGATCTGTACTGGAACTGATGCTCTTTAATTTGTTCAGAAATTTTCTGGGGAAAAGCAGGCAAGTGGCTGATTTTGCTATCAGCTCCTTCGTATTTAATGTGCTTAAAGGGATTAAGTCAGAAACAAATTCATCATCTTATAGCTTATCTATTTATTTATTTTTATACTCCTCCCTCCACATAGACTCATGGTGGTGTACAAGAAAACAAACAAAAATTATAATACTACTCTCAAATGAATGCAAATAAAATTATACATTAAACCCATAACTAATTTACTCTCAACATGGAATAATAAGCATACTGAGAGCCAGTTTGGTGTCGTGGTTAAGGCACTGGCCTAGAAACCTGGAGACTGTGAGTTCTGGTCCTCTCTCAGGCATGGAAGCTGGTTGGGTGACTTTGGGACGGTCCCCCTCTCAGCCCTGCCCACCTCACCACGTGGCTGTTGTGGGGAAAATAGGAGGCAAGAGTTTAAGTATGTTCACTGCCTTGAGTTGACTCTATATATCTATATCTATATTTATATCTATATCTATATCTATATCTATATCTATATCTATATCTATATCTATATCTATATCTATCTACCTATCTATAGATATATATATATGGGATAAAAATCTAATAATGATACTGATGACAAATCAATATAGGCATGTTCATGACAGATTATAACCAAAGGTCCTTCTGAATAGCCCTCATTTTGACAGTTTTCTAAGGAGCAGGAAGGATAGTTCCATCCAGATTTATGACGAGAGGTGTTGTGTAGGATGGGTGCCTTTACCAAGACATATAGGTTTCTTACACTCCCTGGAATCTAGTGTGGAAGATTAGCATTCCTATCTGGGAAATGTGTGCTGGAAGTAAATAATCCTGCAGGTGCCAAGTCAAATAGCCATTTTGTGTGAGTCAGGCATAGGGCTACTGCAGGTTCCTATTCAAGCAGATTGTTGTGAAGTGTTGCTTTACATTCAGAGACAAAAAGGTGCTTTGGAGTGTGTGGGGTCCTCGGTTCCTTAAACCAAATGTGTCATGCTCCACAACACCTTTTTGCCTTCAGGCTGAAGTCCTGCACAGCCTTATGATAAAGTACATTTGGAAAAAAGTGACATGCCAGCAGTCTTTCTATTACATTTGGTTGGCCAAAGAGGTCTTTGGTGTAATCCGTTGAATGCTAATTCAGACTATTTTTGGGTGTAATCCAGAAATTTCTTTCTATATTTGTTCACTTATAAACATTTATGATCTGGGGGTGGGTTGCTTAGCCCTCATCTAATTCGGATTGTTCTTTTTATCTGTTAATTTAAATCAACACTGAAAATCAAGTCACTTACTACTTGATGAACCAAATCAGTTAGGAGAATGGGCTTTGGGCACGTAGACGATCCCATCTGAACTCAGTTCAAAATGTCATGCAGACTCCAGCTGAATTTCCAGATCAAAGCTTTACATAGTGCTGCATTTTCTGTTTCACAAGGTGGTTAGAGCTTGCACTTCAAAAGAAGAAAAAGCATAACAGACATAACCAATGTGAAAGTTAACAGTTCATAAAACAGTGAACGTTCATGATCAGTCAGTCTAGGAGGGACAGTCTTGGAGTTAAGAGATCTGACAGATGAGTGAAAAGAAATCGGGGGAGAGTCCCTTATGTGCCTACCACTCTAAAAAAATATGGGTGTTGCAAAATTGAGCCTTATTAAAGCTCTTTTGATTGGTTTAAAAGCACGATAAGCAACTGTTTTATTTTTCTTCTATCCTTTCCTTCATTTTTTTCACTCAAGCAGCAGCCACCATTGTTGGTGCTGCTGTGCTGGTGCTGCTCTTCCTCTTCCTCTTCCTCCTTTTTTTTTACTTCTTTTTTTTAACTGTGGAAGCGACTTTGTTCTCTTTTTGTAATCAATGGGCTCCATAGCTGAAACAGGGCTGCAGGTGTCAGCAAATGCTGGGAGGTCTTGGTTCCATGCTGGATAAATAAAACTGAACTGATTGTACGAGAACTATTTTTTGCATTGCGAAATCTGGTTTAAAAAAAAAAAAGCAACCCTGGAACTTGATTTGTCATTTGTTTCTTGGCAGCAGACCTGCCAGAGCCTGCGGACAGTCTGCCAGACATCCCCTGGCAACCGGAGAGCGTCTGCTTTGTAATCTGCATTCGTACATAATCAGTTTCAGGTTGTTTTCAATAGACGCCGAGTGTAAAATATTTTGGATTAAACAGATTGCATTGACTTTATGTAACTTGTTCAGCTGCCATCTATAGCGCACAGCATGTCTTCTGTTGCAACCAGGACTGCTAGTACAGATATAAATTGCTTCGTGCAAGGGGTTTTTCTCCCTCTATTCTACCTTTTCAGTTGCCAGTGGGAGGGATCAAATGGTGAGTGATTCAGAAATTCGAAGTCTGCAGGTTTCTCTGTATCTTAATCTCTGTGTATACCCACGTCTATACAATTATGACAAGTGTAATTTCATGTTGTCATTTTTTTTTTTAATGGTCCCATCACTTCCACTTTCCAACTCTGGCTTGGGAAATCTGTGGAAAAGACTATTCAAGGCTTCAGAATGGTGGAAAAGCCACTACCTAAAGTTGGGATTCAGCTTTGGATAATTTAGGGCTAAAAAGCACAATATATTAACTGCACTCTGCATGACATGCCCTGCAGATGTTCCCTGGGGATTCTTTATCTGACCTGATTTTATTTGAAATAAATAAATAAATGGGATCCTGCAATGCTTCAAACCCAAGCACCAGCCTCCAGCATCACACTTATTTCTAATAAAGCTTTGAGGCTTCTCAATATGCTCCCTCAGCTTAGCTATGACGTTTTTCTGGGCAGGTAGATACACTCCCAGAATTCTGAGTTTGAATCACTTACAGTTTTCCTTTTTAAGAATGGCTGTGGGATCACTATGGCTAGGACTATTATATTTGGGCTCCAAAACTCTGAATGACCACTTGTATTAGAGTTTTCCATACGGGCTGAGGATCAACAGGCAATCAAGAGAATCACTTGGTTGAATTCATAAGTCATGGATAGGCCAAATTCACCCAGTGGGCAAGGGGTCTTTAGATATAGCCATAGAAGGCAAGGTGTTTTAGGATTCTGGAGTGAACGCTTTTGCCTGGAGGAAAACTAAGTTTACATACCTTTTCTCTCCAGAGATCTACCAAGCTACTAAGGGCTGAGATAACTCCTGTAATTTTGGTGTTCTTAACAATCTTCTTCATTACTTTCCCTTTATTCTTAGGCGAGAAATTGAGAAAGGCATTGAAAAATTACAAAATGTTAAGCCAGGAGGTGAAACATACATGCATGAAGGATTAAGAGAAGTAAGTTCCCTGCAGTTTCTTTAATTGGAGACATAGCCTAGTTCATTAATGTTTGAGAACGTTCAACCTTTTGAATCATTTATGCATTTTTTAAAATTGGCAATATTTCTAGCCTGCCCCAGTCCTGAAGAATTCTGGGCAGCAAACATGATGAAGGTAATGATTCTGCCTCGTGAAGCTCTTTTACAAATAAAACAAATACACACATATGAATACACGTGCAAAGAACCATGACTCATAGAACTAAGTGGATTGCTTCAGGAGAAATGGAACAGAAAATTCTGGCATAATATCTTTGAGAAGAGACATATTCTACCAGGGGACCTAGCTAAGAGGAAACTAGAATGAACATGCTATGAATTGAAGAAAGATTTTACTGCTAAATAAAGTAAATGGAAATGTTTTCTTTAAATGAATTGTGGTGTTAGTGATTGGAGTGAAACCCATTTCATTAAAAGGATTGGAGCCTCAGTCGTCGTCGTCTTCAGTCTTGAGGAACAGGAGGAAGGACCGCAACCAAGACAGTCAGATTAAAAAAAAAAAAATTGAGTCCCAGGCAGAAATGTAATTTGAGAAAACATCTCAGACTTGATCCTCCATAGTTCAACTTTGGTTTCCTAGTCTGGTCAATCTTGAAGAGCTGACAAATATGCCTCAAATAATTCCTTTTCCAATCAAGGAACCCTCTAATGCTGTGAAGTTACGTGTGTTTGCTAAAATACTCAGTCCCATGACATAGTTGTCCAGTCTTTCCTGCTTATTTCTCATAAAGAAATTATAACTTTTTTGGTTATTGCTCTTTAGGAAATTGTAGGACTCTTAAATTACTAACGGAGATGACAGGGTGAACGTGGAGCTGGGTTTAGCTTCATGTAGAGCTTTCTGCTGACTCCCCAATAAGATAAAGTTTCACTCCACATCAAAAATAGAAGATCTGAACTTGATGAGAACTCCCCACCCCCAAATGTGGTTTTCTTGCAGGGAAAAAAAAGTAAAATCAGCCCTGCAAAATCAAAAGGCATAAGGAATCATTTATTGAGTTTGGGTGCAACTTGATGAGCTCTTAGCTCATTATGGTTTGTAATTTTTACGTTGTGTTTTTTGTTCTTCTCCACTTCCAAATGCAATTGTAAGAGCACAAGTTCTTTTTTTTTTCCCCCAGGCAAATAATCAGATTGAAAAAGCACAAGGGTCCCAGTCCAATAGTATAATCATTG